AACTAACTGTATCTTAATAAACACTGACTTTATAATCATTGAAAGTGTGTATACATTTTTTTGGGACATCTTATATTTGTATGATGTTGCTAGTTTTACCATCTCAGCTTGTTGCTTATATCTCCTTATTTCTTACCCCTTTACCAATAACCTGATTGAGGCCCTCATTACCACTCATATAACATATGAGTGAAGGAACTGAGAATATATAATGTGAAAAAGAGACAATGAAGGTGGGGGGGAGTAGAAGGTATGTCTTTAAATATCTGATATGCTCTCACATAGAATAGGGATTAGTTTCAGAGGGCACAAACGGGACCAGTTCATGGAAATTAAAGGACACACAGACTTTTGGTTCCGTATGTCTTTCAAGCAAGTGTGGTTGTTTAAAATTAACCAATATCATGTAGATATATGGATACTCTAGAATAGTTATGTTAGCTAATGCCCTAACCACTAAGCCAAACTGGCTAGGGCAATATGTTACTTCTTACATGTAGACTGCATATTTAATAGTTTTTAAAGTTGCACTTTAAAATATGGAGGCTGCAAACGTTCATATTTACCTCGGACTCATCAGAGATTACTAAGGTCCTGACATAATTAAAATTTGTTTATCAGACTGCAGTAAATATTATGTTCTAAGAGGTAATGCTTAAGATAAGAAATGCTTAAGACAGCTCAGATATTAAAAATTCTTATTGTGGTGTTCAAGTAAATGGTTAAAGTCACTTAAACTCTTTCTGTCCCATTTAGGTTGGTTATGATGACAACTTTACAGTCTGTGAACATATAATGCTCAGTGCTGCACAAGTGCAGAATTTTGCCTATTGGAACTTGATCCAAGTCATGTGTGAGGGTAAATGAATATCTGCTCAGTACTTAGTTTCTTCCATAGATGTTTTTCTTTTTCAATTTAAGAGGAGAACACATAAATAGTACGTTCTATTTGTATCATCATTGTAAGTTCACTGTGCATTGTTTTCAGCTGGAGGAGGTAATCCTGAGGAGCCCTAACAATGTTTATAAAATGTATCCTCGAGGCAAAACTACCTGATTTTTGCTATCAGCTCTTTATTTTCTTTCAAAACTGTTTTGAACATGTGTGTCCTGCTCTTACCACGTTGCTGTTCCTTTTCTTAGTCTTTTTGTCTTTATCTCTTACTGTCATCTACTTCTCCTCATCCTTAGCTGTGAAAGGAGACAATCCAAATAAATGTTAGTGTTCTTCTTTTCTTCATATTTGCCACTTAAAAACAATAAGCATGCTGGGTTTAAAAACTGAACACAAAGTTCAGTACATGAGGTTAGACAATTGGCAAGTATAGGTAAAGAGGGGATAGAAATGGATACAATAATTGATGTTTCTATAAATAACTGAGATGGGGAGAAGAAATAAGAGGGCAGACATGACAGATCAATATGTCGAGAGACATTTAAGGTCAGACGAGGGATTGATATTTGTTACTAAAAATGCAAGCAGGTAGGAAAGGTTGCAGTAGCTGAACAATTTAGAGTGGACCTCATAGTTCATTTTATTTGATTGTAGAGCTAAAAGCACATCGAAAATTCTAAATCAATGTTTATATTTTACCTAGCTACAGAATATAATTTGGGGAAGATGCTCAAGCATACACAAATACTGGAAGTCTGCAGTGTTTTTATTGGTCATACTGTGTGGCTGAGATATATTCTATAGAATCAGTCCCTAAAGTTCTCTCTGCCAGGAGCTTTTACTTGGCATTAAATCCTCAGTGGGTAAAATATTCTCTGCATTGCCCTATGGGAGAGGCTGATTACCTTCATCTGCCCTTCAAAGACATTGATTTGAGTACCCATTTACATTTATCAGTTCATAATTTATTGACTGTCTTAATGCGTGGTTATGGTTGGAAAAGTGACTCTCTAAAAATGACATCTGGGTCTCAATCGATGATTTTCATATCAAATGTAGCTCTGCGTTCCAAAAGGACTCTGCTTAGTCTTCACTCTGCTTTTCACATCATTGACAGTAAAGTTTAGTAATAAACCTCATCTGATAGCTTTATTTTACTTTGATGAAAGTTTTCTCCTTTTTAATGCTGTTATCTTTTTATATATATATATATCTTTATTGATTTCAGAGAGTGGAAGGGAGAAGGAGAGAGATAGAAACATCAATGATGAGTCACTGATTGGCTGCCTCCTGCATGCTCCCGACTGGGAATCGAGCCCGCAACCCGGGCATGTGCCCTGACCAGGACTTGAACCCCACTCTCCTGGATCCTAGGCCACGCTCAGCCGCTGAGCCCTGCCCGGCCAGGCTGAGACTACTCTTAAAGTTCACTGTGGTTTCTTCATTTGTGTTTTTTGCTCATTTGTAGTTAAACTAAAAGTACTGTTTGTCTTATCTTTCCTTGGCTCATCTCACAGAAATATAAAGGAAATATTTTAATGGATTCAAGTATTAATTTATTGTTTTTCCTCTTTCCAAACTCACACACTTATGTTAAGGAGAAACAGAAGTTATGACTTAAGGCCTGTCTGCCAAGTTGCTTTTTTTAGCCAAAGCTGCCCTGGGGAGTAACATTGAGGAAGTTCAAGTTTTCTACATAACTAAATAGCTGAACCACAAGAATAAAGTTGTTTATCTTAAGAAGGAAAAATCACTGTGTCTTAGCATTTTTATCTTTCTTTAGGATGTTTAGGAATTTCATAATAGAATGTTTTCTTGGCAGGTTTCTTAGTCAAACGGTTTTATTTGTTTTGTTAGAATTTAATATAACCTGGACACATTTGTAATTTTGTGTATTACATTTTTCACTTGAGTAACTTATTTTGAATAATTTGTTATTTTTAAAAGAGTCTCAATGTAGACAATTTAAATAATAAAGTTTAAAAAAGGGAAGTAAAAATAATATTTCATCTCTTAGAGTTTCCACTTTTAACATTATGGACTTCTAGACATTGTTTTATGCATGTATATGTGCGTGATATAAAATACATATGCATGTAGATGCATAAATCATATTCATGCTGTTCTTTCTTCTCACCCTATTCCCTGGATACCTCCTTTTAAAAATAATAAACTTTATTTTTTGGAGCAGTTTAGAGGAATTTTAGGTTCACAGCAAAATTGAGATAAAGTATACAAAGTTCCCGTATACTTCCTGCCTTCCAGTACACACAACTTCCCCTACTATCTACATCACTGTCAGCAAATGGTTCATTTGTTACAGTGAACCTACATTGACATGTCATTATCACCTAAAGTCCATACTTTATTTTTGATGCTGTATACTTTATGAGTTTTGATAAATGTATAATGACATGTATCCACAGTCATAGTATCATACACAGTTTCACTATCCTCAAAATCCTCTGTGTTCTGCCTACTCACCCTCTTCCCATGTGCCCCTAAACCCTGGCAAACCACTGATCATTTTATTGTTTTCATAAGTTTCCCTTTTCCAGAATGACATACAGTTGGAATCATACAGTATGTAGCTTTTAAAAATTGGCTTCTTTTACTTAGAAATATGCATTTGTTTTTTCCTGATATCTTTTCATGGCTTGATAACTCATTTCTTTTCAGTGCTAAATAATATTCCATTGTCTGGATATACCACAGTTTATCCATTCACCTACTGAAGGACATCTGGTTGTTTCCAGGTTTGGCAGTTATGAATAAAACTGCTGTAAACATCTGTATGCAGGTCTTGGTGTAGATACAAGTTTTTATTTCATTTGGGTAAATACCAGAAGTGTAATTGCTGGATCATATCATAAGAATATGTTTAGTTTTGTAAGAAACTGCCAAACTGTCTTCCAAAGTAGCTGTACCTAAAATTCAAAATAATTTCTACCAGCAATGAAAGAGTATCATATTGCTCCACAAGCTTGCCAGCATTTGTTGTTGTCAGTGTTTTGGACTTTGGCCATTCTGATAGTTTGTAGTGGTATCTCATTATAGTTTAATTTTATTTCCCTGATAATGTATGATGTGGAGCATATATTCATCTGCTTACTTGCCATCTGTTATCTTTGGTGAGGTCTTTGGCTCATATTTAGATTGGGTTGTTGTTTATGTTCTTCTTTTTGAGTTTTAAAAGCTTTTTGTATATTTGGGATAACAGTCTTTTATCAAATATATCTTTTGCAAAGACTTTCACCTATTCTGTGGCTTGTCTTTTCTTTTTCTTGACATTGTCTTTCTCAGTGCAGAAGTTTTTCATTTTAATGAAGTCCAGCTTGTCAGTTATTTCTTTCAGGGGTTGTGCCTTTGGTGTTAGAGTTAGGAAGTATTCCCTTTGCTGCTTTCTTCTGGAAAAGATTATAGAGAATTGGTATCATTTCTTCCTTAAATGTTTGGTAGAATTCACCAGTGAAGCCATCTTGGCCTGATGCTTTCTGTTTTGGGAGGTTATTAATTATTCATTCAATTTCCTTAATAGATACAGTCCTATTCAGATTGTCTGTTTTCTCTTATGTGAGTTTTGGCAGACTTTGTCTTTCAAGGAATTGGTTCTTTTCATCGAGGTTATCAAATTTTTGATCATAGAATTGTTCATAATATTGTTTAATCTTCAAGTATCTTGGGATTTTCCAGCTATCTTTTCCTTGATTTTTAGTTTAATTCTGTCGTGATGAGAGCAGACATTGTATGATTTCTACTTTTTAAATTTGTTAAGGGTTATTTTATGGCCCGGAATGTGGTCTATGTTGGTGAATATTCTATGTGAAACTAAGGGAAATGTGTAATCTGCTCTTGTTGGGTGAGATAGTCTGTAGATGCCAATTATATCCAGTTGATTGATGGTGCTGTTGAGTTAAACTATGTCTTGACTGATGTTCTGCCTGCAGGATCTATTTCTGATAGAGGGGTGTTAAAGTCTCCAACTATTATAGTGGATTCATGTATTTTTTTTTTCCAGTTTTATCAATTTTGCCTCACATATGTTCCCTGGATAGATTTTTATGGTGATAAATATAGATTTTATATTATTATAATACGTATATGTCATAATTTATTTATCAGCAAATAAATGTGCCTATTAGCATACCAGTGTGCTAGATGTGAGGATATAGTACTGAACAAGACACATTCTCTGCCCTGAAGGAGTTTATTATTTGAGAAATAATTATGTAAAATGCTTGCTTCCTCAGGCTCACCAATTTCATCTCTTGTGATGATTGAAAAAATATGAAGTTCCTTTAATGTGAATTTGATCTAGTAAGGGTCAAAATATTTTCATGTTTTCTGCCCTTTTTCTTTTAGAATGTCTGTCCTATTTTCCATTTGGGTTTTTCTTTTTCTTATTGATGTGTAAGAGCTCTTTGTATCTTAGAGATATTAACACTTTGTCTATACAGGGTGTCCCAAACACATGCATACAAACTTTAACAGCTGAGAGCTCAATTGATGTTTCTTTCATTTCAGCCAGACTGAGCTTTGAACAAAGGGAATTCATCCTAAAATGCTACTGGAAGTTTGAAAATGCAGTTGAAGTACAAACACTGCCTTTATAATTATTCAAAGTGTATATACATTTTTTTGGGACACAGGGTATCTCCCCCCCCAAATGTATACACACTTTAACAGCTGATAACTTAATTTCGCTCCTTTTCAGGTTAACTGATTGGAAATAATGGGTGAAACCAGACTAAGCTTTGAACAAAAAAAATTTATTCACTAGACCTTTTTTAAAAGATAAAGTTTATGGTACAAAACCCGCAACAGTTTACAAATTGAGGGCACACAAATACCGAATGAAATGATTCTTAATGTTTGCAATTCCACTGCTTTGAGTTATCAGTAGTGCCTACAGAATGGTCATCAGTTTGAAAACAGGTATTGACAAAAAATTATTCATTTCTGTAGATTCTTTTAAATTTTGAAAATGAACTGTATGTTAATAAACACTGACTTTATAATCATTCAAAGTGTATATACATTTTTTTGGCACACCCTACATATAATAGATATTGAATTTTTCCTAATTATTGAATTATAACTCACTTATTAATAACTCACTTATTAATGCTCTTTTCTTCTTCCTGTATAGAAATGTTCATTTTTATGCAATTTCATTTTTCTTTTGGATTTTCTGTTTTGAATACCATCCTAAGAAAGGCCTTTTCTGCAAGATTATTAAAGCCATTTTAATTAATACTTCCTTGTAGTATATGCACATGGGTCAGGTGTTTGATTCATCTAGAGTTTATAATGTGTGAAGTAGCTTTATTTTTTAAACTGGCTAACTTATTATTCTAGTATTATTTATTAAGTTATCCATCTTTTCTCACTGATGTGAAAATTAAGAAAACATTTTTTGTTGTAAATTGAAACCATTCTATTTTTTAAAAATGCAGTATCAAGATGGGAAGTAATTGTAGGAAATTCCTTAATTTAAAAAAGTGCAACAAACATTTAGGCTTTATATGAAAGTAGTGACTTAATATGAGTGGAAGCCTCCATTCGGAAGATAGTCATCATATTTTATAAGATTTTAAATCACCTTCTCTAATTACAAATAAATCTTAAATAGTCTCACAAATACCAAAACTGAGCTGTGTTACTAAGTTAACTTATTGTTTTTAATTGTAAGTACCTGGGGGAGATCATTGTCTAGTTTTGTATGATAATTTATGCTGTATATTTGGTATTAAATGCTTTTTTAAAATTGAAAATATTTATTGAATATATTATAGTCTGCTCTGTAAAATGAGAAATTGGTTTGCTCATTTCAAGTTCAAATTTTATTTAATCACTTAAATAACTTTAGCAGGTATTGTACCATGTAATATGCACTTATTACTTGTTTTTCTCTTTTTTTCTTTTAGTCAGTACAAAAGATTAAACTCAATAGAAGAATGCAATCAAGTGATGGCTTTTTCTTTAGAATTTGAATATGGAGGCCACAGGGACAGAAGTTGTTGACAAGCTAAAAACTAAATTTGTATCTGCTTGGAACAACATGAAATATAGTAAGTATTGTGATTTAAAAATTGTATAAATCCAAAGACATATTTGAAGATGTGTATCATCTTCCTTTTAAGCCACTGGCAATTGGTTGAGGTTCTTGTTGAATGAAATATTTCTGTAAGGAATGTAGATAAGAGTAACTCCTGAAGAAGCAGCCAAATATCATCATAAGCAATGCTTAGAAACCCAAGCATACTTATGTGGTCCTTTTTTTTTTTTAAATATTCCAAACAGAATTTATTCAGGTGATGGTAATACCTTTGTTTTTAGACTTAATTTCAGGCAACCTCATGTATAAACCAGGAAGCAAACAAAATAGACCCCTGAACACACAAAGCAGACAGTATAAAGTTCATGCACTGATAACTATGAGTTTCTCTTAAACCTAGAAGTACCTTCAGACTCTTTATTTTTAACCTAGTTACTCTTGGTTTGCAAACAAATCCAATAAGAATCATATGGTGGTATTTTTTGTGTGTGTTTTTGTTTTTTACAGTTTATCCCTTTTTACTTGTTTATTTTTCAGTTTTTTCAGTTACAGTTGACTTTCAATATTATGTTTCAGATGTTTATATGACTTTCAAAGTGATCCCCCCAATAAGTCTAGTACCATATATAATTTACAGTATTTTTGACTATATTCCCTATGCTATATTTTATATCCCCATGACTATTTTGTAACTACCAATTTGTACTTCTTATTCCTTTTACCTTTGTCACCCAGCCCTCCAACCCTCTCCCATCTGTCAACCGATCATATGGTAGTTTTGAAGCTCACTTCAGACTAGAAACAAATAGGAGATTAAGAAGCCTTCAGTCATGGAAAAATACTCTAAGCAGAACCAGTTTCAACAGGAAGAGGTTCATATCCATAAAATAAAACTAATAAAATTTAGTAAAATTCCTTGATATTGCAAATTCAGGTAAAACATGTTGGCAATTCACTCCTGGTTCACTGGAAGTCATGGCCAGCTAGCTATTTAGACATTTATACCTTGATAATAACATGACATTGCATTTTGAAAATTATGAACATTTTTATTTTTATTTAAAAAATTTTTTTTAAACATATGTCTTTATTGATTTCAGAGAGAGGAAAGGAGAGGGAGAGAGAGAGTTGAAACATCAATGATGAGTCATTGATCAGCTGCCTCTTGCATGCCCCCTGCTGGGGATCCAGCCCACAACCTAGGCTTGTGCCCTGACCAGGAATCAAACCAGGATCTACTGGATCCTAGGTTGATGTTCAACCGCTGAGCCACACCCAGGCGGGCTGAACATTAATTTTGAGAGTTGAGACGTAATTTATATACTATAAAATGTACCCTTTTAAGGTGTATGAGTCTGTGATTTTTAGTATATTCACAAGGTTGTGTGATCATTATCACTTTCTAATTCCAGAACATTTTTATTACCCCAAAAAGAAACCCTGTGCCCATTAGCAGCTACTCCCTATTCCTCCCCACCTCCCTCAAGCCCCTGGAAACCACCAGTCTATTTTCTGTCTCTGTGGATTTCCCTGTTCTGGACATTTCATGTAAATGAAATCATACACCTGTGGCCTTTTGTGTCTGACTCTTTTCACTTAATGTTTTCAAAGTTCACCCAAGTTGTAGCATGTATATATTAGTACTTTCTTTTTTTATATAGCAGAATAATATTTCGTCATATGGCTATACCACATTTTCCTTACCCATTCATTGGCTGATGGACATTTAGGTTGTTTCTACTTTTTGGCTAATGTGAATAGTGCTGCTGTGAACATTGTGTACAAATATTTGTGTGAATGTATGTTTTCAGTTGTCTTGTATATATATCTAGGAGTAGAATTGAAGGATCATATGTTAACCCTAAGGTTAACTTTTTGAGGAACTCCCAAACCATTTTCCAAAGTGGCTGCACTGTTTGAGGGTTTGAATTACTCCACATCCTCACCAATACTTGTTATTGTCCTTTTTTTTTTTTATTAGAGCCATCCTAGTGGTTGTGAAATATATCACTGTGAGTTTGACTTGCATTTCTCTGATGAAGTGATGTTAAGCATCTTTTCATGTACTTATTGGCCATTTATATGTATATATTCTTTGGAGAAATGTCTATTCAAATTCTTTGTACATTTTAATTGGGTTGTTCTTTTATTATTGAATTATATGAGTTCTTTATATACTCTAGATAAAAATCCCTAAGCAAAGATATGATTTGTAAATATTTTCTCTCTCTCCCTCTCCCTTTCTGTCTCTCTAAAATCAATAAAAACATATCCTTGGGTGAGGATTAAAACAATTTTTTATACCATAAGAACATTGTCATCTATTTGAAAGTAAATTAAATTTTTCCCCCTCTCATGTTCTTTAAGTAGAGAGAATGTAGTTAAAATATTTAACTGTATTTGAAAGTAGCATAAATCACCCTTATTTTCAATTCATTGTCCAAATATTTTGCTAGCCTTGCCAGAAATGCACATCCATAGTTGAGAATTGATGATTTGAAATGAAATAAAAGAAAATGTTGCTAACTTTTAGTGTGTAATCCTTTAATTGCAGAACAATTTTTCTCTTTTCTCATTTAGGTTGGGTGTTGAAAACAAAGACATACTTTAGTAGAAATTCCCCTGTATTATTGCTTGGAAAATGTTATCATTTTAAATATGAAGGTAAGTGCTAGGTTTGTAACCCATTTAAAAATTTTTGTAGAAATTTATTGTGTAACTGTTTTCACTATTTTATTTCTAGTTCTACTTTTGGCACAGTTCTTTTGTTTTTTACTTCCATTTTTAAAAATTGTAGTAAAATTTACCATCTTAATAAATTTTAAGTTCAATGGTATTAATACATTCTTAAGCTTATGATACCGTTATTACCATTCATCTCCAGAACTCTTCATTTGTAAAACTGAAACCCTGTACCCATTAAACAATAACTCATTTCTCTCTTACCCTGAGTCCCCAAAAACTACCATGTTTCTTATAGTGCAGGTGTGTTGGTGATGTCTTTTTCCAGCTTTTTTGTCTATGAAAAAACATATTACTTTCATTTTTGAAAGATATTTTTGCTGGGTATAGAATTCTGGGTTGGTGGTTTTTCCTTTCTTTCAGTAGCTCTGAAGATGTTGCCTCACTATGTTCTTGGTTGTTTTGCTTCCAGTGAGAAATCTGATGTCATCCTTATCTTTCTTTGTACATAATGTCCTTTTTTTTTCTTGACTGCTTTTAAGATTTTTTTATCACTTGTTTGGAACAATTTGATTATGATGTGCATTGGTGTAGTTTTATTCGTGTTTCTTGTCTTGGGTTTTGTTGAACTTCTTGGACCTATTGGTTTATAGTTTTCATCACATTTGAAATTTTTTAGCCATGTTGTCTTAAAGTACTTTTTCTGTTTTCCTCTCTCTTTCCTCTCCTTCTGGGTCTCCAAATACACCTACAGGGTGGGGCAAAAGTAGGCTTACATATTCATGTGAAAAATAATACAATAATTAATAAACAATAATACAAGAATAAACTGTTTCCCCGTACTCAAAACTGTAAGTCTACATTTGCCTACTTGTGTATATAGATAATATAATTAAATTTAACATATCTATGAAACCTGAGTTGAAAAAATTTTATCCAAAGAGAAATTAGCTTGAAAACTTGTTCCTTAAGATTGGTGTGATGCATTTTCCCCCTGTTTGGGGGACAAAAAGGAGAAGTGAATTTTTATAAAAAAATAATGCAGGAAAAAAATGTTTGATAGGGAAAATCTGACAAAGTCCAATTAAATTTAAATGTAGATACACTCTAATGCAAGTAGGGGACAAGCTATTACTTCTTCCATTAGTAACTTACAAAGCAATATGCATTGTTTTAGACCTATATCTCATAAAGACATACTTTATATTTTTCTAGAACATCTGGTAAAAAGCACCTCTCCTTTTTATTGTGTTAAAAAATATCTTAACAACAGAAATCCAACAAATAAAAATAAATGCTTTTTTCTTATTTGCTAACTGGCTTTCCCTTCATCCACCATCATAAGATTAAAATGGAAATTAAAAAATTCATATGTAGGTCCTTGAAATTAATATATAATAGACACCAGTTTCTTAACCTGATCTTTGAAAAGGACAAACGACTGAAATTATATATGGCTAGAATGCCTTTAGCATAAGGGGGTCTGTCACTCATCCCTTGGCAACCTAGTTGTATTCACCATTGGACTGTGGTTCTAAGATTAGGCTGGCTGACTGTGTTGTCATCTAGAAATATTGTTGAGCATGAGCTATACTTTTTAGTAAGTCTCCCAGGAGATACATGAAGGGGAAGGGAAATAGAAGAAAATGTCACAGTAAGTTAAACCTATAAAAGTGTGGTTTTTCCTTAGTTAAAATGTCAATCGATTAAGCATTGTAATTTTTCTTACGCTCCATGTACTGCTTGAGTGTGATATCATGTGCAGCTCTATAGTAAACCCATTAGATACTATAACTTCCACAGATGAGATTTGAGGAATGGGTTATAAAATGCTGCCCTTGATATAGTACCTATAATCAAACCTGGCAGACACCTATTATAAATATCCTATATAATAATGTAAAAAGTTTAGAATAAGATTTTAGTGTTTTATTTTCTTAAGTGATAAAAAGCAGCTGAGATTTTCTATTTCTACTATTCATTTACTACAATAAAATTTAATACCGTATATAATATTGAAGGAAGAGCATTTGATTGCAGTAAATGAAAGCCAATAATAAATATTTGTTCAGGAGACAGTGTGACAAAACAAATGTATTTGAGTCAGAGGCCTGTGTGCTGGGCTGCCCATTTGCTAACAAACTGGAGGGGCCAAAGGTCTCTCTGGGCCTCAGTATCCTCATCTGGAGAATAAAAGAATTTTGTTACAAGATTCTCTCATATCCAAAAAAACCAGATAAAACAACCTGAACACATTAACTCTCACTTCATGCTTAAATAAAATTATCATTATATTACTCAAGGGAGAACCTCAGAGAATACTTTTTATTCATTTCTAAATGTTACTAATTTATTTTCTAAGTTATTTAACACTCATCACCACCCTGTCTCACTCCTTGTGCCTCCCAACCCCAATTTGCCTCCAGCAGCTACACTATAAAACTTATCCCTTTAGTACAGTCACATAGCTGACTTACCACCTGTTACAAGGTATCAATTGCCTACAGGGTATCCCTCTCATAAAAAAGTAAGCTTCTCCAGGGAAGAGAGGACTCTTACTTTTCTCCTGTCTCCAGCTGCTGAGCACAGAATCTGGGACAAATTAGGAATTCAATGAGTGTTTGACAAATTACTTAATATCAGTTACAACTGCAAGGTAAATCTTACTACAGATATTAATTAGAATTTATCTGTAGTGGTATTGGAGTGGTGACAGTAAAATGTTTGAGACTCTCTAGGGTAGTGATTTTCAACTGGTGTGCTACAAGAATTTTGACAACATACAATATCTGGCTAGTCAGAGGCACTGACCTCTTTCCTTTAGGTTGCCAATAAAAAAATTACAACAGCCAACACAGCAATAGCTGCTCAGAGTGAATGCCCTGTCCTGAACCATAAATATATAGGTCATATAATAGAGTTACATCGTATTGGTCATATCGTGTAATAAAATTGCATGTGATTGGTTAATTCTTGGTACCAGAAATCCTTATATACAAGTACAGGCACCTGATTTTTAAAAAAGTCACTTTGGCGCAAAGAGGGTAGGTAAATACTATTATTATCATTCTTTTTGTAAATCAGTAAAAAACATATCCATATTTTTGTCAGATTGATAAAAAATATATATTTTGGTATACCACAGAATTAGTTTATGTGTGTCCTTAGATGAAAAAAGGTTGAAAATCACTTCCCTGGAGAATAAACTGTCCTTAACACACTGTAGAAGTATCCCTTTAGCTTTGAAATATTCATTGATTTGTAACGAGCCCAGCAATCTAGCAATGATCAAATACTGAAATAGCCTAAACTATGTTAGGACACTTCTCTTCCTTAAACAAGGCATTGAGTAACTAATCCTAGTCACTGTAAGTAGCTAAAAGAAATAGTAGCAGTTTTGAATATCATAGAATTTTTAATAAAGATTTTTTTTATTGCCCAGCTGGCATTGCTTAGTGGTTGAGCATCGACCCATGGGCCTGGAGGTCACAGTTCGATTCCCATTCAGGGCAGATGCCTGATTGTGGGCTCAATCACCAGTAGGGGGCGTGCAGGAGGCAGCCGATCCATGATTCTCATCATTGATGTTTCTCTCTCGCCCCCTCTCCCTTCCTCTCTCTAAAATCAATAAAAACATTTTAAAAGAGAGTCTGTATGATCTCTCCAAGTGCAGTGAATACTCTGATGATCACAGTATTTACACAAAGCACATAAGAGGGGGTCCACCTGTTGCTGGACACAGTGGCATGTGTGGGATTTCCTTGGATTCATGGCTGAGGCCCAGACTCTCCTTCAGTCAGCCAGAGTGCTACACTCAGAACCAACACACATTGGTGACTGCAATACCACTTTAACCCGAGATGTTCAAATGGCATTAAAGTATCTTTGCAGCTATACATAAGGTTGAACTATTTAGGCATACCAAAGTGGGAAGTATTTTTAGAGCACTGTGGAGATTGCAGTGGTAGAGAGCAGTCAGGCATCAAAAGCCATTCGGGTGCCCTCCGTATCTCTGCTTTCCATGTGTTCATTAACGTGACTTCTAGTTCATGGGACCAGAAAGGTTAGTGGGAAGGAGGTTCTAGCATAAGTATCAGCTAAGATATAACAATCATGGATATGCATTCAAAATGGAGTATTTACAAAAAACATGTGACACTGGCTGGGGTCATGGGACTCCCGGCGTGGCCTCATAACTGGTCTTTGAGAAAGAACCAGGGGCGATTATTAGAGGTTGATCTCATCCCAAGCAAGGCCGTTCATATTCTTTAGAACTTTCCTCACCAGCTTTTCGAGGACTCTGTTTTTCCTCCAGAGATTTCCTTATCTTGTTATCCAGTCTTAATTCTTGGACTTCATCCTTTAACAAATATAATGAACAAAAATTTGTAGGAGCCAAAATAATGTTTTGTTTAAAAATTACCCATAAACTTACAACCATTATTATGAGTTACTTTTCTTTTACTTTTTAAAAGAAAGTTCTAATCAGTGTATAATTTATGTTTATTTTTGTTACTGACAAGTGAGCTCTACCCATTGCAGCATATTTACTGTTTAATGGCCCATAATGGCCCATCGGGTATTTTTTTTATACTTCACTTAGCCACTCCCCTATTGGGGCTTAGGTACTTACAAAGTTCTATTCTTATAATACTATAAAGAAAATCTTTATGTATATATGTTTTTAAAACAATTTTTTAAATCTCCTGAGGAAAGATCTTCAAAATAAGATGACTAAATGAAAAGGTTAGATCGTTTTCATGGTTCAATATATAATACATTAAGTTGCTTTTTAAAAAAAAGGTGGGAGCATATTAATGTATAATGCTACCAATCATACCAATTTTAAGTCCTACCCCAGTCTTGGACACTTGGGAAAAAACTGCCTAGTGATGTGAATCAAGAACCTCACAGTGTCTGTAATTTGAGTTTGTTTGCTTACAGAGTTTGACCACAGTTAACAATTAACAATTAACAATTAA